GTTAGGTTAATTTAGATTAAGTCATATAATGATATCTTAAGATACACAGAGTGTTAGACACTCTAGCGATGTTAGCACTAAGGATCCGTAGATTATGTAGCAGTAAGAAGTTTGTAGACTTAACTGAAATAAATATGTTCCAGCAGTTGAACCAGTCTTAGTCGGAAAGCACGGGAGATCACTTCGCCCACTGCATCATCGCCTTTGATAATGTCCACCGCAGTTGTGGACGAAACGTCACGAAAAAATTCCCATTCATTTCGGGCTTCAAAGCCCGGCTCATTTGGGTTTTTGTTTTCTTGATGTAGACATTTGTGTACATTGGTAGTCAATGGTATAAAAAATAAATTAAACCAAAAAATTACTTTTATGATATATTGAAAGACAGTTGCTTTTTTTGTAAAGGTCAGGTAAACATTACATTTTTGGCATAAAATTCTGGATCGTCCTTTACACCTAGATGCAAAGTCTTGTCCATCAATGGATGGTAAATGGTCTAGTCTGACCAAACGAACTTCGGCTATCGGTCTAATTTCTGGTCTTACTTTTACAGTTTTGAGCGTTGAAGGACCTGGACTATCAGCTGATGGACGCCCCCTCTTTTTTGAAGATGTTTTTTTCGGACAAGATTAGAACCTCAGCAATATAGGTTCTGAAGTGCAGCAAATCTAGGATATCTTTCTAGGCTACACCCAAGTTAGCAGCTCTTTATATTCGAACCAGCCGTTTACGCATGTTATATCTATGGCATGAGCAAACATTCTCAGAGTCCACTTTTTAGACCTGATAAATGTCCGATACAAGGTAATAAGAAAATCCATCTTATTAACACCCCCCATTGCGGCCGGCAATGCGTCTGTTGAACATTTGCAGGTACCCATACCAATTTATGCGACACCTGAAGGCCTCGTTTGCAACAATCCACTTGATTTTGCTACACCATATGTTGCTGGTGTCGTGGGAAAGAAAGTTTTATCGCAGGTGCATTGCCAAAGCTGTTTAAAACAAATTGAGTTATATGACCAATCTTGGGAGGTGATCTTCATAACTTACTTATTCAACATCGGGAGTGTCTGAAAGATGAACGACATCTAGTCCATCCATCTACGCAATTTTTTAAAGCCTTTAGACACATAGCTAATATTATATTCTTCATAATACTTAAATATATAACGG